AATAAAAATAGCTATGAGTTGTAAACATACTAGAAGCAATGTAATTTATTAAATCACAAATATTTCAAACATTCCTGTGTTCTTCCTCATTGTGAGGACAACTGACAAAAAATACAAAGTAATACTTAAAATTAAACTTGCTTTACTTTGTATTTTTTGTATTTTTTGTCAGTTGTCCTCACACTGAGGAAGAACACAGGATTGTTTGAAATACACAACATTTTATTTGCTGTTTATTTGCTAAATAACATTAGATTCAGAGCCGAGCACCTGATGATTGAGGCTGTGCCCTCATGAAACATCCTGTAGTGCAAAATAAAATGTTGAGTTTGTAACCTAGTGTCTTTGATTACTTATTTGTATATATATATAAATATATATATACATTTATATATATGCAGTAAATAACATATATCTTTATATTCTTAAAATGTAGGTCATAAGTCGCAAGGTGACCTCACAATAAGTATTTGTAATTGGATAGAAAAATATGATGACTTAACCAGCAGCACGCGTCAGAGTTTGACAGCTGTCAATTGTGATGATACTGTGTAGATGAGTAAAAAGTATGTATATTGTTTCTATAAAATTATATTATACTATTTTTTGATTATTTTACCTTTTAGAAGAAAAAACAATGTTAATGATAATAATGATGATATAATAAAATAATATTCATGATGATAGAGTTAATTGGCAATAATTACGGCAACAAAATTACAATGGATTCAAACTATGGTTCAGTGATGAAGGTGCTTGCCTTCTAATTTGAGGGTCTTGTGTTCAGTCATAATGTGACCTTAGAAAGCATCCCATCCATCTAAAGTGACAAGATATTCACAGTATGAGAATTACATTTTTCAAATTTCAGTTACTATATGAACATTATGTGCAAATGACTACTATCACAGCAAGTTATTATACTGAATTTTCGCTACGAACCATACCAGAAAGTCATTGAACTAGGACTCTCCAGTCATCTATGAAGACTGCGAGACAAAATACATTAATGGAAAACAAACAAGAAAAGAGCATACGGAACCGCAAAACAGATTACAAAGTTTTATGATGCAGAAAGAAAAAAATGCATGTCTCCTTTACAATCAAATTACCCATTTTTAATTGCTAGTAGTTATTTAGATTCTTAGAGAAAAATTATTTATGGTATGATTAAACGAAATTAAGATTGTTATATGAGAATAAATGAAGACAGAATAAAATTCCAATGTTTACTTGAAATTGTTGAATAAATGGTCTCATAAAGTAAATACACTGTGTACTTATTAGTGACGAGTGGAAACTACGCTTCAACATGCATAACACCCATAGTTAGCCGATGTATGTAGGTGTGCCTCCTACAACCAACAGAAATAAAAGCACAAAGTTTGGTCATGGAAACATGAACCTAAAGTTTTTACTTTATTTGTTTTATCAATTTTAATGCCAGGGGCATGAGTAGCTCTCTCTCTCTGTCTTTTTCACTAAGCAGGTGGCCATCAGATTGAAAGTGCCTGAATTTTTTTTTCGTGAGCATTGTTTGTTTGTTACATGGCAACAACAAGGTGAATTCTCATCACCAGGTTTTGGCTCACACGGAACACACTGAATTTTGGATTTAAGTGCCAAATTTTAAAAAATGACAAATTTTACACATTTTCACCCAACATGACGTGTACATCTCCCTTGCACAGTGTGTGACCTTCTTAAGACAATGTTTAATGGGTCATAAATCTTCATTAACATGTCAAACACTAATTCGACTTTACCCGACCAATCAAAAGGACTTGTACACCTAATGAAAAATCATATTTTGAAGCTAGTTTGTCAGTGGAAGAGCCAATTTGAATATATTTGGTACCATACAAAATATAGTAAAATTATCTCTCAAATGATGGGTATGACTGTAACCTTTCAACTATTCAACATACAACATTATGGGATGTTCCCGCGGAAAGGATTCTTGTGGGGAGCCCAATAGGACTAGACTTGAGGAGTAGGAGTGTGGACAAGCTGCGTCTTGTGGGCTCCCGCATTTGAAGAATTAACTCATATACATCCAGCTTGAATTGGAGCCTTGGTTTGATTGTTGTATATTCATTGTTTCACTCTGACCCGAACATTGTAGTGTAAGTTGGATTATATTAAGACCTGTTTGGTTATGTATCGGTTCCGTTTGGCTTAGTTTCCAAGTTCATTTTATTTAACAAGGCATTTTAAAGAGTTACACCGAGAATATTTTATACTCAGTGGTAGAAAGAAATCTTTTAAATCTATAAAGTAACATTGTGCATATAATTTTGGACACACCAACATGAACACAGGTTGGGGAGAGCTAGCCATGATTGCTGTTAGAGACCACCTATTGTCACACACCCAGTGCAGTAGGTGTAGATTTTGTGACAGAATGTAAGTAATATAGCTGAGCACATGGAAATACAATTGGAAAACATGAGTACACTTTTCAAATCTGGAATTACAGTAAGAACAACTCACTTCAAAAGAAAATACTGTACAAAACTGTTTATTAGAGCAAATCAGAGTGTAAGCAGAGATTTCAGAATGGGTACATTTTTTATGTGAACAATGCGACGAGTATCATGAATCACATGTATCAATCTCAATGAGCACATCATCAAAGTGACATCACAACAAATTTATTAATTTTTATTTTGGCCTGATAATAATACTTACAATGTTTGGCTGCATAAATTTATAAACACCCCACACTACACAATGTAGCTCCAAGTCGCGTCTCAAACGAGAGATACAGTACAGGTCATTTCTTGTGTATTTCGCACATTCTCGCAAAAGGGCGTCCCGGGAACATTGCGTCCAGCATTAACATGTGCAACATTCAGCACTCTGCTATAATATACCGTTACACTTACTCTTTGGAACACCAAAAACAACAGTTCTTTTTTGTGGGCCCTATATCTATACTGCCACAAAGAACCGTTCTTAACAAGGAATGGCTCTTAAGAATGGTTATTTCTCTTCAGTAGGTTTAATGTAGATTAAAAATGGATGAACTTGTTTTATGATTACAAATGGAGCAGTATAGACTAAATTTCATGCAAGGGAACAATTTAAAAGATCATCAATACTACTTTAAACTCGTACCAAAAATCTCATGCTTACTAGAAACTGTTGAATAAATGTTCTCATAAAGTAAATACAATGTGTACTTATAATGACGAGCGTAAAGTATACTTCAAAATGTCTCCTACAACTTGGTAAAAAAAAAAAAAGGCATGGCTGGTCCGCTTCGTTCATGGAAACATAGACATAAGAATTTATTTTATTTGTTTCATCAATTCTAATGCTAGTCTGAGACATGAGACGTCAAAAATGTTTCTCTTTGTTTTAATTATTGAGACTTCTCACAAAGTAATAGAAATTATTGGCATATGGCATTTTCTGTCGCAATTGTTTCTACCAAGTTGACAATTTGTCTGATTCCTCTTGTTTATAGTTATGTTATAACAGGTTATCATAAAGTGAATGTCTCTAGATTTTCTTGGGCCACAATAAAGAGCTCCTGAAATTTATTAAAGTATAAAAAAATAGTATCATTAAATTTTACAACATCTCATGGTTTTTCGTGGGCGTTAGACCAGACAACAGCTGTACGTATTTTATTTCAGATCAGTAATTCCATCATTGTAAACACCGACTTTAACAAAATATGATATGATATTTTATTAAATTTCCATTTAAAATCAATATTGAAGAATAATTACATTGAAATCTGATACTGAACTAAAAACATCCATTATTCTAGGCTGATGTTAATTCCAGACAAAAGTTTTCAAATTAATTTTCTTCACTGCATGTTAAGTCATTCGTTGTATTTGTATTTTTTTCCACTAAGTCAAGCACATGTTTGAATGAACACAATTTGTTGATGAAGCAGATATATTCTGTATTGATTTAATTTTAGATTGCAATGTATATTATAACATCATTATATTATATTCATTCAAACAATATTATAACATCATTGGGAATTGTAGAGTGATCTAGAAGCTATATAATCTTGTACCAACTTGTGTGGACCATCAGCTTTGACTGAATTTGCAGAAGAAATAAACCTGACATTAAATTAAACCCTAAAACTCTTTGGAACTCAACAAGTTTCCTTGAAGATGAAGATAATCTTATTACTTCTGGTTGTCTGCAGTTTGCAAGACTCATTGGCCTGTTTGTGTGCTTGGGAAACACCACAGGAGAAGTTCTGCAGAGCAGATTTTGGTGAGAATCTTGACTGACATCTAGATGTGTATAAGAGACAGTATATATAGTGCCCATTTTGATGCTGATTGCAGCACAGCAAGAACTGATTGTCCACCAAATGGATGTTATTAGTACTGAAAATACCAACCATTATTATAATTGCAAAAGACTAAACATACTCTTATCCGTAATCATTAATAAACAATCATCACTGGCAGTGGTAACACATATCTGTAAAAGCTCTTCAAAAATGTTATAATTAAATATTTGTCTTCATACAGCCATTCGTGGCCAGGTGACATCTATAGAAAACGTATATCCTTCTGCCGAGTCTACTCAACTCAGCCCAAAAATACCATTTGCTATCAAGTATCTTGTACTAGTGAAGAAGATTTACAAAGGGGCAGATCTGATACCTGCGAAGAATGTTGAAATCTTGACAGCAACTTCAGAAAATATGTGCGGTGTCACAGATCTTGAGGTCAACGGCATATACCTTCTCACAGGTCAGAAACTGTTTAATATTATTTTATTACGTAAATATAGACATAATGAATAATGCAAAACAAAATATATGCTGCAAACCAAAGAAATAAAAAAAAAAAAAAAAAAAAAAATTTAAATAAAACATTTAATTACCTGACACATGTGACCAGGGGGTGATAATGCTCTCGCTTTTCAATTTGAAATTGGCGCCTTATAAATATTTGGGTATTATTACTCTTATTCATATTTATAATATGCAGTGAATAACATACCTTTATACTTTTTAAAATGTAGGTCATATGTTTGAAGGAGAGTTCAAAATAGGAATTTGTGATTGGATAGAAAAATATGATAACTTAACCAGCAGCCAGCGTAAGGGTTTGAAGACAATTTACAACAATTGTGATGATACTGTGTATGTAGAGTAAATAGTAAGTATATTGTTTCTATATAATTATATTACACTATTTATATATCTTTTTATTATTTTACCTTTATTTTTTTAGTTGGATTTCTTTTTAACAGTATTTTTATATTTAAGTTTTACAAGAAACTCTAAATTATGACTTTTTTCTCAGATTCTACTCTGCTATGAACCATGCTAGGAAGTCTTTGAACTAGGATGCTTCAGTCATCTATGAGGGCTACGAGACAAATACATTCATGGAAAACAAACAAGAAAAGAGCATATGGAATGGCGAAACAGATTACAAAAAGTTCATGACACTGAGAAAATACATGTCCCTTAAAAACGAATTACCAATTTTTAATTTATGCATTGTACATTATTATAGAAAAGGTATTTACGATATGATTAACAAAATTAAGATTGTTAAAAGAGAATAAATCAAGAGGGAATAAAATTTCATTATTTACAAGAAATTGTTGTTCTCATAAAGTAAATACACTGTAACCTTATTAATGAAGAGAGTAAACTGTGCTTCAAAATGCATACTGCACATAGCTAGCCCATGTATTTGCACTTCTTACAAACTGGTAACAAAAATAAACACGCGCCGGCCCCCATTTTGGTCATAGAAACATGGACATAATATGAGCAAGTTCTCTCTTTGTTTTAATTATTGAGTTTTCCACATACAGTGATAGAAAATATTGAGCTATGCCATTTTTTGTCAAGATTTTTTTCTGCCAAGTGCTATGAACGATTTCTACTTTAATGTCCAAACTATGTTTTTCTGTGAAATTATTGTTGGTAATTTGTTAAAATCACCAGCACACATGTATTATTATTATTATTACAAACTTTATTTTGTGTCAGCCACATTTTGGATGATTAAATAAAATAAAGTACACCTTTCTAAGTCATGTTTTCCTAAATTCCATTCCATTGGATTTTGTTTCTAGCAATTCCAACAATATTTTCTAATTTAAGCCCACTTTCTTTTTCATCAAATTTAATTTTTGAGTATAATGCTTATTCCTAAAACAGCAAAGATATTTTGAGGACCTGCTGCAGTGAGGGATAATGACAACTTTAAAGATTTTAGGCCTATATATTTTTTGTTTAAATTACATAATCAAAATTCCTGATCCTAAATACCTCATAAATGAAACTCATCTGATAGACAGGAAGAAACTACTGACAGTGTACACTAAAGCTTGGTGGGTATAAAAATAACACATTATTGGCTTAACCTAGTACCAACATGTGCAACACCCAGCACACCACTTTGGAATCTCCTCAAAAAGTTCACTGTTGATATAAACTTTCAAAACTAGCTTACCAGCATTTTTTGTCCTCTGATTGGTCAATAGGTAAATAGCATGCAATACTACACTTGCATCTCCAGATACATGTCTGTGACGTATATAAGCAGTTCCTGTACCAGGCTTAGCTACGTCAGCTTCCCTACTAGGTCACTACAACTTCGAATATTGTCATCAAATAAACAAACTTGGCTGTTGAATACTTTGCACTTCCACCCCACGTGTCTACAAAAAATATTTGCTCTTACTCCCTTTATTTTAATAATTTAATGTAAAAAATTGATTTAACTATCACTAAAATAAATATTTTAACTTGAAGTTAACTGATAGACAGAATTTAAGTAATTAGTATCTACCTAAAATAAGGCAGAAAGAAATTTAAAATGTTTTCAAATATGAAAAGCACAAGTTGATAATGGCAAAACTCTTGGTATTGGCACTGATTTAATAACAATATAAGCTCTTTGTAAAAGACTAAAAAGGGGTGGGAAGAGTATGCCCCTGAACCACCACTCACTCTAGATACTCTACATCCAGAATTAGTACAAACACTATGCAAGAGAGTTTGCATTATTGGAACAGCATACTTCAGATTTAATATTAAAATCATGAGTGTACTATACTTGGTTTAAAAGCTTTTCCAATAATTAATGATTTATTATCTAAGATTTACTGCATGGTAGAGGCATGAGGAAAAGATTAAAGTCAAGTGTCCCACACAAAGACCACACTGGATTCCTACATGTAAATTTGACAAAAACCACAGGAAGTTTCCATACGGAGGGAGCGTGACACAATATTGGAATGGCCATCTAGCAGGCTATATAATCTTGTACCTAACTGCTGTTGAGCATGAGTTGTGACTGACACTTGACGAAGGAACAAACCTGACAGCAAATAAGTCTCTGATATTGGAAACAAAAAATCTTCTGGAACTCAGATACTTCATAGCAATATAATAAATCTTAAAAATGAAGGTACTGGTAATATTTCTCGTTTTCTGCTGTCTGCAAGCATCGTTGGCCTGCTACTGTTCATTGGACCATCCACAGAAGAAGTTCTGCAAAGCAGATTATGGTGAGAATATTATTAATTGATAGAATTGTCTTGATCATATAATAACTATTTTACAACTGCATACACTATGAATAAATTGTTCTAATATACCTGTTAATAACATCTTCTTGTTCTGTTTATAGAATACCTATTGTACTTGGAAACAATTACTCTCATAACTTAACTCTTTATGTATTTTTTCCTAAGCAACATATAGGTTAGATGTAAATATCACAAATGTACAGCAACGAATTGTTTTGATAGAAAATAAAATTTCCTTTCTCAAAATTTATTGAAAAAAGCTTTATAATTTTCATTTAGTAATTTAAAAAATATATACATTTTATTATGCATAAAAATAATTTTTTAGATGATTGTATTCCTTACTTTATTGAAATATCACATTGTAATAAATGATAATTTAATTAAGTTTTGAGGACATGAATCATAGATAGCTGTTCCAGTCGAGTTCATGTTTTGCTTGGTGGCCGTAAAACACGGTTTTTAAATGTATAATTTGACCAGCTGTACCGCCATACGGCAGGAACATCTGTCATATTTGCATGGGAAACAATTCATCCACACATTCCCACATAAATATTACTCCAATGAAATTTCCCAACTTAATACAGTTAATTGTGTTGTTTGATTCAATTTTGTACTTTCAGAAGTTTTGGTTAGTAATCTTGCATTCTTACCAATTTTAGTTGAATGTTTAATATATAAAAGCGAAAGTAAACCAAATATATGAAACCAATATTAAAAAAGTTTTGAAGGCTGAACTCTTTATTCATAAAATTGATGTTAATAATTAACCTATGCAAGTGCAAGTAGTTTTTTTTTTTAATTTGTAAAAACTATCTCCCTAACATGAGTTTTTATTTGGTTGCAATGCTGTTTCCAATGTTACTGTATGTCCTATTTCTTCCTTAGGCCTACTGCATGGAGGCATGGAGAATAATTTATTAAAAACTTGAAACACTGCAAAAATTTAGAAATAGACATAATGTTGCAAATTTTCTAATGGTTTTAAATATGAAATATCATTATCAAATTGACCTAATGTCTTGGAATAATTGACCAATGAAATTGATATTAGAGTGGTTAACCTTTTAAAATTATGTATGTAGAAAACTAGAACACTGATTTAGAGTTTCATTAAGAAGACTTGCAATTTTTCAAATTCTCAAGCTCCAACATCTTCAATAATACCACAATACAATGGTCTGCACCGATTGATAGGAAATAATATCAGAATCTACAGGAAGCCGATACACAAGAATAAGACCTGTCTAGCAAGCCGGGGACTTGAGGCCTTTACCCAGGATACATATAGGCTTTGCTGGCATTCTTCTGTGTCCCCATGGGCCCTTGGCATATTTTGCAAGTCATATAGTCTTGGGAATTTTGCCATTAAATGATTGGTGTATTAATTTGCATTGTTTAATTGTCCTCAATATCAGCTAAAATATTTTGAAAAAATGTAATCTTTAGATAGGTAAAATAATTTACACTTTAGAGTTAATCTGTGTTAATTTAGGAACATATTGAAAATAGATAAAATTAAAAAGTGTAAGTTAATATCAGTTATATAGTTTAGGGAAAATTAATGATAGATCAGATTGCAAAATGTATTAGTAAAACTGCTTACCTCTTAAATCCTGGTTTAATGTGGATTAAATATACATGATTTCTTTCAGTAAGTGATTATTAAGGACATGGTATTGACTGTACATAATTTCTTTCCAGGAAGAAAATTTAAAAGATTATATTAACAAAGTCAAATTTATTTCAAAATATTTATCCCTGATACTATAAACAGGCTCATACTAAAATTGAAATCTACACTACATTTTCTAAGCGCTTTTCTCCAAAAACTGTTAATTATTTAGAATAAACTAATTTAACAATCCATAACAAATCCAATAATAGCAAAATGTTTACATGGCATACTCAACATTTTCCCATGGGTTCTGTTCAAGCATGTTTTTCTCCCTAACATAATTCCCTGCAACCACTTAAGCAGTTGAATAATTACCTTACCATCAGCAATATTGATCAATATAACAATTACTTATCATTGTGGTAATAACGGTAACAACCAATGCATCCACTTGTAAATTTAATGGGATACATGTTTTAATTTGCACTGATGGCCTTATATATCTACTTGCAGACTCAGAGTTTTGTTAAGCAGTATTTCATAAGTTCCTAAATTTGCTAAAAATGGTAAATAATTCCATGTGTTTATCTGTGTGCTTAAGCATGCTATTGAAATAATGGTTTAAGTCTTCCAAAGAATATCAGGGTTTCCAAAAACATTTTACTGTAATTTGCAAAACTAAACATCGCATGTCTTTTATTAATTTATGAATAATAAAACTTACTAGCCTGGTATTTTAAAATTCAAACTATCACATTTAAATTAGTAAGTTTCCTGTAGACCTGTATGTCTTTTTTCCAAGAGGTGTTGAGGTTTTTCTAAAACCACTTTACGCATGTAAATAATGCTTTTTTATGTGATAGAAATGGACTTACAATCTTCTTGGCCTTCCAAGGTTCTCCTTTGAGCATGTGACTATAAAACTACAATCTTGAGTGATTTATTCCTTTATGAATAATTAATCAATAAATTAATTACAAAAACATCATGGTATAATCCTTCTAAATTTGTCCAGTAATACCAGTGGAACTTACTAGATTTATCACATTTAATTATCGATTTTTAAACTTTTTTTTAGTAATGAAAATGGTACTACCAGGATAAATTTTATTCAATTTTGAATATTCTGTTTAATCATTATTCATCATATTAAAAATATAGGTTTTCTGAATTATCATAATTCTCTTGTTAAAAATATGTTTTTATTTTCTTTAACCATAAGAAATTATATTTATTAGAAGTACCAAATTCATACATTTCTCAGTAACATTGTCAATTTATTAATTAAAATTTCACAGCAATTTTCCAACCCAGATTGGTTCTAATACTATCAGCCTTGTCTATTTTCCAAATGTGTGATATTTAGTTCATTATCCTATAAAACCTCCATTCAGTCCCAATATTGTTTCATTAAATTAACTTGGCTCTCTCTCTCCTCCAGTGTACCACAAAACAACTGGGTTGGCGTTACACTCATGCTGGCATTTGGCATTAACAATGCTTTTTTATTGTTTTTGTTGTGATTATCTGTCATCTTTGATGGTCCCATAACTGATCTGTGGTTGCCACATGCATACCAATATCCTTGTCACTATGGGGTACCACTAATTAAATTATATAAGGCGATTCATCTGTATTTCGATGAACCACACAAGACTTAGGTATGCAATAAAGAAAAGATAATCATGATTTTAGCTCGTCAAATTATTAAAGTCAGTTCACATGGATGTGAGGAGAACTATTTAAACTTGTCTAATGACAGATATTGGCACATGAACTTGACTTTAAGGTCTGTTTACATAGCAATTAAAACTAATCCAGGAAAAAAAGGTCTTTCAGAAGATTTGCCTTTCATTCCAAATTCAATATATTAATGATATGTAGACATAAATTATCCCACTAAATTTTTAATTATGACCAATAATCATTAATCAATAATAAAAATGATAATCACCGATATTATTATTATTATTACTTTTATATACATTATTCAAATCTATTCAATAAATGTTATAATTGATTACTATTAATTACCGGTAATTATTAATTATAATAATCACTGGTAGTCAATCTTTATTAAAATATTACTATTGTTAAAGAAAAAATAGCAATATTGATCAACTTGTCAATCTTCATTATTCAAAGCTATTCAATAAAGTAATAAAATTATTATTTGTCTTTATAGCAATTCGTGGCAAAATCATCTCTAAAGAAAAGGTATATCCACATACAAACCCAACAATTGCTCCGACCAGTGAAACAACCCCATCGCCTGTCGTGAACTTTGCAGAGCCTGTTGGATTTGGTCCAGTCGGCTTTGGTGGAATGGCAGAAAACCCTAGCTTACCTGGTGACTCCAAGCGACCAATCGCTATCAAGTATTTTGTGCGTGTGGAGAAGATTTACAAAGGCAAGGATCTGATGCCTGAGAAGAAGGTTGAAATCATCACTCCACCAACAGACTCGCTCTGCGGTATCACAAATCTTGAGGTGGATAGTGTTTATCTTCTCTCAGGTAAGACATTGTACAGTAATGTCTGATAATAGTAGAGTTAAGGTAGATTCACACCGAATGCGAATTCGGTTTGTATGGTTAACGTAACGAAAAAGGAAAATCAAATCAGTGGTAAAGAATAGAGGCGCGTACTAAGACGCACATCGAAAAGTTCTACAAACCGATTTCGGATTCGGTGTGAATCTAACTTTACTGTGGTGATCTAATGTATAGAAGCCCATTAAAGACGTTTACTACATAAATATAATTGCATATATACCATATTTATTTTCTTTTTTAATTTTGGTATAACAAACATGAAAAAGAGCAGTCAATGGTTGAAAGTGCCTATAATAACAATAATATTATCAATCTACAAGAAAACATTTAAGTATATCTCTACTCAAAAACTAAACAAAAAAAAACCGAAAATATAACATAAAAATTAAATTATTGTAATGTAATATACATATGATGTTCATCTACATGAAATTATTTTACAAGGCCATGCATTATCTTATAAGGTCATGGTTGCTCTTTATTCACTACTATAATCAACAGTCGTCAATGAATAACAAGTTACCTTTATATTTATGTACATGTAGGTCGTAAGTGGGAAGATGACCTCCGAATTGAAACTTGTGGTTGGATAGCAAAATATGATGACTTAACCAAAAGGCAGCGTCAAGGTTTGAAGAAAACTTACAACAATTGTGATGATTGTCAAGTAAGTATATTAATTCTTTCTATACTACTGTATTACATAATTGTATTATTATTCTTTTTGATTAGGAGAAAAAGATTTGGTGTCAATTTGGTTTAAAAGTTTTAATATGATGAAGATAATGATAATGATTATGATGAAGATAATGATAATAGCAATTATGATAAATATACATTAACAATAATATTAATGACAATGAACATGCAATTGATTGAAATTTTGGTTTGTTAGTTCCAAACTCTTACATTTAAGTCTTGCAAACATCAGAATTTGTTCACTCTACTAAAGACACAAAATGAAACTTAATTTATTATAGATCATGGCATCTACCCTATAACTGACAAATATTATTACTTAACAAACTGATAATAGTTATGATCATCATGAGCAAGTAATGATTACCATGAAAAATTCTCTAAATATTATTTAATATTAATGATAATAGTATATGATAATTATAATTAAATAATTTAAAAAAAAGTAATTATATAATTTATTTTTATTTCCTCAGATTCAACTCTGCTATGGACCATACTGCCCAACAAAATTACAAGAAAGTCTTTGCATGTGGGATTCATCAGGCCTTTTTGAGGACTGCGAGGGTAAATACGCTCACTGCATGGAAAACAAACGAGGGAAGTGCGTATGGAATGGCAAATCAGACTACAAGGCATGCAAGGCTAAGCGTGAAGCTGAAAAAGATGCTCGTCTGCCCTAAACCCCAACCCATGATTAAATTACTGTTTCTTTTAATTTAAATCTTCCGGTCTAAAGTGCTTAAACTGAAGGCGTCTACTACCTTTATTAAGTTTTGTACAAATTGTATAAAAAGATTTTGAATTGTATTGAAGGATGATTGTATATACAGAAGCACTATATATTCTACTAATATTTTGCACAATAATTTGTTATCATTTTACAACTTTTTTTTAAACTTTATTACTGTTGTTATTAAAATTCTCCTGAAAAAGTAATTTATGATATGTTTAAAAAAATTAAGATTGTTATATGAAAAAATATGAAGAGGGAATAAAATTCCAATGTTTACTAGAAATTCTTGGCTAAATGTTCTTATAAAATCTGTGTACTTAGTGAAGAGAGTCAACTCTGATTGTAAATGCTTAAGTAAAGAGTAAACGTAGGAGAATTTTTACATTATTAATTGTAATGGTGCCCACAAAAGGAATTAAGGGGTGAAGCTTAACCAATCTGCAGCAGGCACCTTACCATAACTTCTGTTACCTACACTCACAGGCAAAATAAGCAGATTTGACTCTTTTTCCTTTCTAATAATACTCATTGAAAAAACTTGTGGGCAGAGTGCTGACAAGTGTTTAACAAGAAAAGTTGACAATAGAGGGCAGCAAACAAATAGACAGCACAACAAACAAGCAGTGTGCATGAAAATAATACGGGAACAAAATAATGTGTAAACTTGCGTAATCTTCTAATTAAAAAGAATTTAATTTTCATTATCAAAAAATGGATAACAAATAAAAAATAACCTCAAAAATGAAATACCGAAGGAAAGAGGAAAGGAGTATGACCTTATCGAAGGCCTGAAATGAGTCACACTTTAAAGAGGAATTGGGTTTGAATAGAGGCCATTGCCAGATCAGATTAAAGGTACAGCCCTACACTTCGTATAAGATTACATGAACTTTATTTTGGAAGTAAAGTTATTTGGAGGCCTCTTAAAATCTGTTATTCCTGCAAACCTGGAACAACTGATGGAGGAAGATAGTATAATACATACTCCATGTATCGAAATGTATGCTATCGTGTCGGGATTCAATATTTCGACATTAATTATGTCATCATCAGTGATGATGACATAATTAATGTCGAAATACTGAATCCTGACACGATGGCGTGCATTTCGATACTTGGAGTATGTATTATATTATCTTATCTGAGATTAATCAGTGGACCTTTTGGTTGATGGAGGAAGCTTTGTGAAATTAAATGAAATATCTTTAAAACTGAAAGATTTCATTCTATGAGAAATACATGAAATAGTATGACATTTTTAAATGAATGAAAATCTACAACAATTGTAATTATTAATTAAATTTAATATTTTATTGCAACAAATGTTGAGGACCAATATCTGCTAAATTTACAATTCATCAAATGATACAAAACTATTAAAATATACATCAATTGTAGATTTTTCTGATGTTGGTTGCTGAAAATCTGACTGACACTAGGATTCCAAAAAATCATATAAATATTAATGTTATAAAATTACCACACCATGGGTAATTACAAGAAAAGTGAGATAAATAGGTACAAGGCAAGTCGTTAATAGTGTAAATTTTACTATAAGATGGGTCAACTTTCTATTGGAAACAGATTTTAAATATGACAAGGATAAAAAATGTAACCATTTGCCCCACAAATTATATTGTGATAACATTTACAGTTAGTTGGACACCAGCAAAAACACTGATAAATTTTTTAGCTATTTAGCAAAATTGCGGGGAATTTTTATCGTATTTACACATACGGTACATATTTGAACCTGCTAGCTTTATCAGGACAAAAAATGTTAATGGGTCTCCTCTCAAGAATGTAATAAGTGAAAGCTTAGTCCAATAAAGAAAATAAATCAGATCACATATATTGTATACTAGATATTATGGCTCGATACAAAACTTTTATCTATCAAAAAATATGTTCAAATTTAACCATGTGGGTGTAGCTTCTATAGGTCCCGGTAGAGTTTTCAATAAACAAAATCTCTGAATTAAATCTCGGGTAAATCTCGTAAACGTGATGATTGATTTGAATATTGAATGCGATTTAAGTTGATCATGACTCAACCATTTCTGGGGAGATCCATATTTTATTCTGGCAAAAAGGTGATAAATGTTGTAGGCATAAGGTTTGCAAGAATGATGAACCATAGCATGGGGGTCTATGACACCATAAGGCTTCATGCTTGTCCCAGGGACAAAGCTCTGGCAGCAGTCCATAGAAGAGGGGGTAGCCTTTCAAGTTCCGGGACTGTAGAAATTTAAGGAACTTATTTAATAAAGAAACAAAGGTTTATGGCCTTCAATTAATTTTCTTATTATCCGGAAAAACATCCTATGTAATTATAAAATACAGTACAGATATTTAAAAAAACACATATGGTAGTTGGTATGGGGAGGGTTGGGGGGAAAGTATAAGGAAATGACTCTCATAGTCAGCTGTTCTTCATTTTTTATTTTCAAAGAATTCCTATTACGTATAATCATTTTCAGCAATCTAGTGTTCAATGTCCTTCCAAAGCCAGCTTACCACCTATATATTTCAGGTTAGCCGTTGGAATGGCGCCTTATAAATGAAACAATTGATTTTTTTTTTTATTAAGAAGTATCTTATTACAAATCAATATTAACATAATACTTCAAAAGTAATCTGCTAAAATTGATTGACGGATTGATTGAGATTAATTGATTGATTGCCATCATCTACCTTCAAAACTGTCAATCATTCTGTAAGCCTATACTAAATGTAAATGTGGTCACATGCTTCATCATACATAGCCAATCAAATTAAGTCAAACAAAGACTACTTTTTTTTTCACTAAGCAAATGAAATAACACCTCTATACATATACTTAATTGATTTAAAACTCAAAAGAATAGTCATCGAAACTAACGTGAGTAAATCATTGCTATCTCTACACGATGGTAATAGTTTGGCTTTATAATCTGATCGCAACTCGCTTAGGATGTCAATAAATCATCACCAATCCACAAACTTGTTGGATTAATAATTGTTTCTAAACCACTGAGCGTGCATCCTGTACCGACTGTTGAGATTAGAACCGACCCAATAAGGAAATGAAACGCACTGTCATTAAGATCATATCACTCACGTGGTGGCAAACACTCAGGAATAGAATGGAACAGGCTTAACTGGCAATATAAAGAGATATATTAATATTTTGAAAGAATTAAAATACTGTCATTCAATTAAACTCAATTACAGGGATTTGAACCAAGAACTTTGGAAGTTGAAGGTAGACACTTTACCACCAAAACCACTCCACTAAATTTTAGCTAAAGATTTTAGCTTAAGTAAGTGGACAATGGTTCTATATTGCTTTGTTCAAGACAGTGAGTCAACTGCATGTGAAGAAGTTATGCTTAAAATCAGACAAAAGTGTGTGTGTCTTCGAATTCTGCCTGACAAAACATTACGCATGTCCTCCATTTTGAACAATGCCCTGTCGACTGGGGTTATTTTCGCACTCTCATGATCTAACTTGGCAAGTTGATAAATTCAATTCTTGGACATTCTGTTATAGATCTTAAACTATAATTAGCTGTAATAAGACATTTGATCAACAGCCAGGTGTCGCATTACAGGAGACATGAATGCGCTCCTAATGGGAAGGCTAATAGCAGGTGTCTACCATGCAAAAGTTATTACTAGTTTTCTTATTTCTAGGAAACTTTAACAGAGTACTTTGCTGCTACTTGAACTTCAGGAAGAAAATACAGTCATGGTTTCTGAATCTTTCAATATCATATAAAATTATAAACTTTATATACTTTTCATGTCTGAAAAATATAGGCCTACACTCTGTTTTGGTTTTTTTTGTATTGTGGAATAAATAATTGAAATAAAATGAAATTTACTACAGTATTAGTAAAAACAGATGTGTCTACTGACTTTTGTCAGAAAATATTAATATTCCCACTCTTAAGCAAGGTTTCCATAAAAATTCTACTCTGTCGATGAGTGATTCCATTTCAATCATTAGACATAACTGTTCCTGATACAATCAGGAAGGTGCCACTATTCAATTGACAATCAGCATCACCAAAATCTTTATTTTAATGTATTTATTCATGTCATGTTCTGCCAGTTTAAAATGTATTTCCGTCTTTTTTATGATGGACAATAAATTTGTATCGCTATCAGTATTAAGTGAGCTTCTTCAGGTCTCGCCACTCCATATTATGTTACAGTAATATGTATGAGTAACATACAGATTGAAGATTAAATAATGAAGTGAGTATGGTAAGTATTTCATATAATACACACAAAATATGAGAGATGGCATTGATTTTTGTAATTCAATACTCAAGTCTCAAATAAAGTCAGACAGAATGTTTTATAGAGATTTAAAAAATCTTTTATTGTCTATGTTACATTAAGCACATATATAATACAGACCTGTAAGATAGCAATCGTGACCTTTCAAATTACATGCCCACTTTACTATAAACCCCAACATTTTTTAAAATTATCTTTAAAAATGGAGGGAAAAAAAAAATATATTAAAATTTAAGTTTGAAAGTGCCATTTCCGGCTATCTAAACGTGCCACTTAGCCCAAACCTTGGTGTGGCTGTGGTGGTATTGACCCTCTATCTGTCAAAGTCCACCACTGGTAAGTTCATTTAATGTCGCACTAAAGATCACAGGTTATGATGTAATTGCCCTTGTAATATCAAGACTAGTCCTTACCTGATTAGGAGTCAAAACTTAAGTACGATAACTTAATTCACAGAGCTATATATGATAGTACTCGTGGGTAATGTGACTATGGTCAATTATATAACAATGTGGCTCTTTGCCAAAAAAAATGATCAAGTATTGTTTGAGTTTTATTTTTGTCAATGAACAAACGGTTCTTTGTATTCTACTGGTTTGAATAAGAAATCAATCATTTTGATATACCATTGGCCTTACCTTATTGAGCAATTAGTCAAATAATTCTGAATAAAGGATATTGTTTGCCACTTGTTTTGAAAAACAATTCCCATGATCTTAAGACAAATTTTTAGTACGGTCTGAAAAATCATTTTTGCCTTGGTTGAGAAACTAATTACAGTACTTTTTCAAGTTTAAACACCACAGAAAAATACTATTCCTGGGGTTTTTAAAACAGATACCCACTGAAAATTTTGAATTTTTGCAGGGTCTGGACAAATTTTTCTAGGGTATATGAATATTTCTAATAAATAGAAAAAAAAATACAAATTTGTTCATATCACTGAGAAGTATAGTAGGTATTTATTACTTTAAAAAATGTTGTACTTATGTAGTAGAA